TTGGAGCACTGGGAGTCGGCCCCCAGGGCTGAGAGAGGAGCACATCCCTGCACAGTGCGGGCAGCCTGAATGCACTGAAGGGCTGCACTGCACCCGGGCAGGATCAGGCCGAGCCCACCCCATGGTGGGGGCTTTCAGGCCAGGCCTTCATGGAAATGTCATCCTCAGTTCCCCAGGGCCAGGTTGGGGGCTGCAGGGGGTTGAGCTGGGGGGCTACTGGCCCCGCTGCTGCCGCATGTAGGCAATGATGTCGTTCTTGACGGTGGCGATGTTGGCACGGTGGTACCAGCGCATGATGGGCACCCCGTCAGCGCCCACCAGGAACTTCTCAAAGTTCCATTTGATGTCGTGGTTCCTCAGTGGCTCCCAGAAGAGGTTCTTGGGGTTGCCAAACTCCTCTGCCACCGGAGGGCAGGAGTTCTGCAAAGAGGGAGGGGATGCGTCAGTGCTGCGTGACCCCCAAAATCTGGGTGCTGCCCTCCACCCTTGGCACAGCACCCACCTTCAGGAAGCTGTAGACCTTCTGCTCCTTGGCCCCGTTCACATCCCCTTTCTGGAAGAGTTGGAAGTTGGGGACGAAGCCACCTCCTGGCCGCACGTACCTGTGGGGGACAAGGGGACAGCAGGCAGAGGTGCGACGTGTGGGAACCCCAAACTTCATCCTCAGGATGGACAAGGAACGCTAAAATCTCATCTCCAAGTTGGGCAGGGGACCCTAAAACCTCATCCTCCAGCTGGGGATGAACCCTCCCACGTTGCCACAGCCTTTCCATACCCCACCTTTCTCATCCCCAGTACTCACTTCAGTGCAGGGAGGATCTCAGAGTTCTGACCAGGCTCCTGCTTCCCAAATTGGTTGGAAGGGAAGCCCAGGACGACAAGTCCATAGGGCCCCAGCTCATTTTGTAGTGCATTCAGTTCTGCAGACAAAGAGCCGGGGATAGGTTAGGTTAGGGGAATCCAGGCCCTTTGCATCGCTGTCACCCCATTCCCAGTGCAGGGCAGGTTGGGGGCCTTACCGAGGTACTGCAGGGTGAGCCCTCAGTACGTGGCCACGTTGACAAAGAGCACCATCTTCCCCGCGTACTTTCGGAAGGGGATGTACTCGTCCCCATCGATGGTTAGCGCCCCGTAGTCATAGATGGTGCCCCGCACGGAGTCGTAGCATTTCACCTATGGGGAGCAGGCTGTGGGGCCGGGCTGGGGGCCGTCACTGTGCCACGACAGCGCTGGCCACCACGTAGGACACGAGGGACGTGTCACGGCAGCAGAGTGGGTGCCGTACGGAGGTGCACGCACACGTGCAGATGTGCGCAGACCCATCCTACGGGAGCGGCTGCTGCAGCGGCGGGGATGTTTACCCGGCTGCAGAGTCCCGGGAAGGCGAAAGGGGGGCCGCGCCACAGCGGGGACGAGAACGCCCCCCCCCCTCCTCCCCGGCGGACGCGGCGCCGCGGACGGACGCACCGCGGTGACCGAGGGACGGCCGCGCTCGGAGCTGCGCGGTGAGGGGGTTAACGGGGGGAGCGGGCGGCCGTGCCCACCGAGGTGCCCGGCACCGTAGGGGGCTATTTTAGGAGCTGGCAGGAGACAGAGTCACGGGGAGCTCCGCCGCCCCGGGCCGTATCCTGCCTTCCTCCGCGCACACGGCGCTGGGAATAGCGCCCAGCCCGGGCAGCAGAGCAGGGACACAAAGCTCTGTACCCCTCCCTCCTCGGCACTGCCCCACGCACCCCTCCGCTGCCCCCCACTCCTTACCATCTCCCTCTCCTGGCCCTGCCCCAGCGGGACGAGCCCGGCCAGCAGCACGGCCAGCACGCAGACGGCTCGGCACCCCATATCGGGGGCGGGCGGGTGGTGCGGGGACCCCCGGGACGGCGCACGGAGGGGTTTCGGGCTCACCGCCTTCTGCCCGCACCCGGTCCGGCGCCGGGGAAATAGCGGCGGGGCCGCGGGGCCGGGCCAAGCGCCGGCGGGGAGGAGGGGGGGGAGAGGGCGGGGGGCCGCGCCGTTAACCGTGTGTGCGCCCTGGGGCGGGCGATGCGCAGCCGGCGGGGCATCGTGGTTTTTTGTTGTTGTTGTTGTTTGTTTGTTTGTTTGTTTTTCCTTTACTTTGATTGATTGTGTTTTGGTTTATTTGGGGGGGTTTTAGTGTTTGTATTCTATTTTTCTTTCTTTTATTTTTTATTATGTTGGGGTGGGAGGGGACAATTGGCAGTGCTGCCTCTGCTTGGCCGGGATGTGTGACCCACAGGCTGCAATATGAGCCCCTGGGGATTCAAATCCTGGTTTATGCAATGGGATTTAAAAGCCTCACCCTGGCAAGGAGCACCTGGGCAAGGTGACACCCTGCTGCCATCCCTGGATAGGGACGAGTGAGTGCAGAGACCAAAGCACTCCATCAGCATCCTTCAGGAGATTGGGTTGAGAGCTCCATTGGGTGACCCCACAGTGCCCCCGCTGTGATGCTGCAGTCACAAGCCGAGGGCAGAAGCCTGCGGTCCCTTATCCTCTTATCCTCAGGGACAGGAATTTCCAAGGCCCTTCTTGCACACTCAGGGAATGCAAACATTTACCCTGGGCTGGCTCCAAAGGAAATATCCGCAATGAGGTGTAAATTCCTTTAAATCCCTCCAAATGGCCTGATGAACTGTTCTGGGGGAGCTGGGGGGGAGGCTGTGGTCAGGGGTTCACTGACCTGGGACAAAGTGTGGCAGCGGGTGAGCCCTGAGACACAGTGAGTATACAGCTTCCAGCACCAGAGCTGGACCTTACCTTTGCATGAGAGCAGTGCTGGCCAGACCAGGGCTTCCTGCCAAATCCAGAGGACTGAAGGAAAAGGGCAGCAATGCTGTGGGCTCAGGGGAGCAATCCCCATCCCATGGCAGGGACACGATGTCTTGGGATGGGGCTGCAGGCTCTGAAACGGCCCCAGGGTTGCTTGGTGTCAGTGATGGGAAGTACCACAGATTGATGGAACACAGCTGGGATTGCTTAATTAGGAAAACAGGGTTCAGAGCAGTGAACCTCTGGTCCTAGGAACAGAGCGGATAGGTCACGCCTGCAGCAGGGGACAGCTGGCTCGGGGTCTGCTCCCTGCACAATGGAATGGAGGGGACCCTACAGCCTGGCCATGGGACAATGTACCCACAGGTCCCTCCGTGTTCCTCAATCACAGTGTTCCCTAAAGCTTTAAGCATGTAGAGATGTGGCTTAGCCCTTCTCTAATTCCCCATAGCAGGGAACACTCTGGACACAGCAGTGGGGCTGTTTGAGCTGTGTTCCCTCCCTGCTATTTCACACCATTCTTATATTACCCCCTAATTGCTGGTGTGGGGCTCTGGTGGGTTTCCAGCTGTGCACAGGGACTCAGAGCTGTGCTGCAGAAGTGGACACGTCCCTTCCACACGTCCCTAAATCGCCTCAGCACGCAGGGAAGGGCTGACCTGCTCCTGAACCGCCTTTTCTTTTCCTAAACCAAAACAAAAATAAATTGTTCCTTAGGTCCTGACGCCAGGCCAGCCTCCCTGGGGAGAGCACTGAAGCACAGGGAAGGGTTCAACAAGCTGTGGTCGATGGATCCCTACCCCCATAGCTGAGTGGGATCCTGCCTGTGTCACCCCAAAGCCCAGGCTGGAGCAGCATCCCCCACCCCAACAAGGGGAGTGTGGGATAGGCTGGCTGCCCAGAAGCTTCCCTCCTTGGGTGTTTTTCTGCTGGAGCCAGCCCCGCCTGCTGCAGATGTTTGGCAGGGGCTGGGGATAGACGGCCAGCAGTGCTTCCAGTCTCATCCCTGCTACCACCACCTCCGGTGCTGCAGTGGGACAGCATCATCCTACCCTGTATGGCTTTGGGTCAGCACCAGGTGCTCCACACCCATTGCCTCCATACCCGTCTCCTCCAGTACCGCTCATCCCTTCTGCACATCAGAGGCTGTAGAGGCCACAGCAAGGGACAGGGAACCCGTGCACCTCTGCTACACCCCGGGAGCCAGCACATGGCTGTGGAAAAACATTAATCCCAGCACAACCTCTGAACTTTTGTTGCAGGTGTGCAATCCCCCCTTGTCATGCTCTGGAAGCGCCCCTGCTCCCCCCCGCTCTCCCTTCTGCTGCCATGTTGCTTCACGTGGCTCCGGGCTCTGCTCACAAAGCCTTCTTTGCAATGCTCCGCAATGCCTTTCCTGGAAATGTTTGCAATAGGATCAAATCTTCCCAGAAATCTCCGCTGCCGCAAAAGGAAATCCCTCGTGCACCCCTGGCCCAGGAGAAAAGCACTCAGGGAGGTGGGAACAGCTGTTTTTTGCTCTCTTACCTCAAGCCAGGCTTCCTCCTCAAACCACTAACACAGCTGCGGCTCTGTGCCTGTCCACCTCCTGTTATACTGCTCTGCTCCACACACCACGCATGTCCCAGGCAGCAGCTGCTGGCAGTGGGGTGGGATGGGGGAAAGCAAGGCAGGGGCTGCTCTGAGCCTCAGCACCGTGACCACCACCAGCTGCACACTGTGAGTGCCAGCGAGAGAGGGAGGGAAGAGGAACAAAGGAGGAAGAAATCTGGTTCTTTGCTCAGTTCGGCGACTTGAGAGGGGAGAGCAGTACAACAGCTCAAAAGGAGAACATCTCCTTGCTCCCTGGGATCTGCGCTTTCCCCTGACCCCAAAGCAAACCCTGCCCAAAATGAGAGGATGTACCTCTGCAGCGGTGCACACAGCATTTAAGCAACCGTTCCCACATCCCAGCCTGATTCAGCTCACTGCTTACGTACATTCTCATGTTGAGTCATGCCAGGATGCTGGTCTGGCCGCAGGGCTTCTGTCCCACACACAGCAGCCCTGGACCTACATCGCACCCACTGCAGGGGCTGCACTACAGCATGGGGCTGTGCCAGTGGGCTTGTGGATGGGCAAGGGTTTGGGAAGCTGTGACAAAGCGCTGCGCCCTGATGACACCAACCACATGGACAGAGCTGCACGACACACAGACAGACATACAGACAAAATAGAATACAGTCATTTTATTTTCTATTAGCTTATTTGGTCTGGCAGTACCTGTGGGGGAACCCTCTGCTGCCTGTTTGATAGGAAGGCACGGGGAAAGGGACGCAGCTCCAACATCATGCAGGCAGAGGCAGAAGCTTCCCACACTCCTCTGTCCCACTGGACCCATAGGATCTGAACCCTGCAGGGTTTCCTGCAATTCCAGTTGATATCTGACACATGGAACCACTGGTGCCAGCTGCATTCCTGCTGGGATGTGCTCCTGCAGCAATGCTTTCAGCAATACGGATGCACAACCAGAAGCCACATCCGTCATCTGGCTTTGACTCTTCTTTTCCAATCACCCCAGCAGCTGGAGAAATAACTATGCCAGGCATTTATGGTCCTTGCTGCCTTGCTGCTGGTACTGGGAGAGTCCCAATGGGATAACATGGCTGCAAGATGGCAGAGGCAAGCTATCTTACAAGAACAAGTCACTTCCAGCTGGGCATCACCTCCATGTCCTCAATGCCACACAACCAGATCCTGCTGTGCTCCCCAGCAGCACGGTGGTTCACTCCCACTCCAGCCCCATCCTCTCCCGACTCTCGGGGTGCCCCATGGTGGGAGTCCTGCTGATCTCCCTCACACGATGCCATTGCGTGTGGGGTGAGTCCGTACCCGGTAGATGATGACAGCTGTGGCTGGGCACAGCAACAGGGCTGTCATGACAAGGATGGTGGCCAGGATGATAAGAACGATGACCCAGATGTCCAAGATGTGCTTGGGGAGGGCAGCGGGATCAGCAGGGATAGGGAGGTCCATCCTAAAAGGGAGACACAGAGCAGTGATGGGGCTGTAGAGCCCAAAGCCTCCCCAAGGAGACCACGTCCAGCTTCGGGCATGTGCTCTTTGCAGAGCAAACAGGCTCTGGCCAAAGCTCTTTTGAGACGCTGTGGGATTTACAGAGTGCTTTGATGAGCTGGATGGAAGCCCGGGGAAAAAAATGTTCCCTGTTAATTGCTGCTGCAATTAAAGGAGCTGATGGAGCAAAGCTGCCAGCAGGCATCCCACCAGTCGCCCGCTCACTTTGGGGTCTGCTGGCAGTGCAGAACGATGCTGCAGTGAGGCACTGTGGACAACCGGTGGGTGTCCAGCCCCAAAGCAGCTCTCTGGGGAAGCAGAGCACTGGAACGCGTGGTGCCACGCAGCCCGTGCTCACAGCTCCCCAAACCCCCCAGTTCCCGCTGAGTCACGCAATTAACGGCTCAATTAGCAGCGCTGCTTCGGCACCACACGGTGGGCATCACCAGCGCGGTGCCTCCCCTCCTCCTCAGCAACTCGAGCGCGCTGAAAACACGCGTGGGCTGCGCTCCCAGCGCCTCCTCGACGGGGCGGGGGTCCCACGGGTGGACTCCGGGGCTGCTCCACGCCCGCTTGGTGCGCTCCGAGCTTCTCGGGACCAAGCGCGGTGCCGACGGCCACGCGTGGCTCGAGGCGGGGAGCAGCACCGCGCGGCACGAAGCGAATCCCACGGCGGTACCCACGTCCCGGAGCCGGTCCCCTACCTGCGGCGCAGAGCGGAGGCAGCGTCCCGCCGAACACGGCCCCGGCACGGAGCGCGGAGCCGGGGCGGCCGTCGGGGGAGGGACGGGGCGGGGAGGGGAAGCGGGGCCGGGCGGGGGAGGGAGTGGGGGAGGAGGCCCGGAGGGGAAAGAGGGCTGGGAACTCACTCTCCAGAGCGAAGTCCGAGCCCCTGCAGCCCGCTGTGTGCGGGAGAACAAAGGGGATGGGGTAACGCGGCCACTGCTGTGGGGTGTGGGGATGGATGTGGGATGGATGCTCCGTGGGACCAGTGATACGACTCCAGGGTTACGGCATGGTGCTGCGTCAGGGGAGGGTCAGGAAAAGGTTCTGCACCAGAGGGCGGTGAGCGTGGAACAGACCCCCAGGGCACGGGTATGGGCCGAGCTGCAGGAGCTCAGGAAACGTTTGGACACCGTTCAACCATGGGATTTGTGTGTTCCTGTATGAAGCCACGGTTGGGCTCAATGGTCCCTGTGTGTTCCTCCCAGGTCATGACACTCTTTCATTGTATTCTATTGACATTTCATAGCTGAGCACCATCACAGTTCACTTCCTCCAGCCCAGCAGCCCTACGCTCAGAGCTGGGCAGGAGCCCACAGCAGCTCAGCCCTCATCAGCCTCCGGTGCAGCCTGGGATAAAGCCACACGGGGTCTTATCGCCATGCAGAGGAAGCATCACAGCTGCGGGTTTCCTTCACAGCCACATAGGAAGGGCAGGCGGCTGCTGGAGCTGCACGACACCGCAGGGTTCACACAGAGGGACCTCAGTGCCATGCCCAGGAGCTGACTTCATGCACTCTGCCTGCAGAGCACAGCAAAGCATAGCACCCAGACCTGACACACATCAGCAGATCTCTGGGTTGTTCTGTGCTGCTCACTTCTCAGTAAAGAGTGGCTGTGCCTGAGCCCTGCACAGGGACAATCAGGAGCTGCAGGCACAGCTGGGGCACTGCTGCTCTCCTCCTCCCCACAGCCAGCGCACCACTTAGGAGGCAGCTGAATGCAGCATTGCAACGCTGCAGGAAGCACCTGTGCAACGTACAGGCAATGCAACGCTGCAAGAGGCACCCAGGCCATGCACGCCCAATGCAACACTGCAAATACCCATGCAACAAAAAACAGTGCTGCACTGCGAGAGGCCACGCGCATCCATAGGAACACTGCAGGGGGCATTCAGGCTCTGCAGGCCGTACACGAGCTCTGCACACGATACAACAATACAACAGGGCGTCAGCGCGCCATCTCGTCCCGCCCGGCGCCGCAGGGGTTAAAGTGGCAGGTCACGTGGTCTCCGCCGCACGCGGGGGCGGCGCAGCGCGGTGACGTAAGCGCGGCGCGGCGCGTGGCGGCCGTTCCCTCCCAAGATGGCGTCGCTGCTGCAGTCGGAGCGGGTGCTGTACCTGGTGCGCGGCGAGAAGGAGATGCGGGCCCCGCTGTCGCAGCTCTACTTCTGCCGCTACTGCAGCGAGCTCCGCTCCCTGGAGTGCGTCTCGCACGAGGTAACGGCCGCCCGGCCACGCCGCGCCGGCATACGGAACGGGGCGCTGCCCTCCGCGCGCGCCTATTGGCTGTCTTGTTTGTCGTTTATTCGCGACTCGCCTCGTCATTGGCTCGCGGCTCTGGCCGGGGGTGGGCACAGAGGTGCCCGGACGTAGCGATGCGATTGGCTGTCCATGACAGAGGGGGCGGTGCCTCGCGGTGGATTGGCTCAGTGATCCTGTCCATCTGCGGAACTTGGGTTTTGATTGGCGAGATCGCACGGGGCAGGGGCGGAACTGCGTGTAGAGGGCTGAGCTCCTTCGGGGCGGTGAGGCCTTGTCCCGGGCCCGGGCGGCCGCTCGGGCTCCCTGAATCAGTTGCCCGGTTATACTGTGAATTAAGAAAGCATCAGAGGCTAAAGAAGCGTTACGAAAGGCATTAGGTTCCTTGAAGAGGTGTTTCTGCAAGCCGTAAAGCCTCCCTGTTGCAGAAAATAGATGTGTCACCACCTGCCTCCACATCGCGCTGCACCCGGGAGGCCTCAGGCCTGGCCGTTCCTAGCTGTGGATGTTTCCTAATTTGGGCAGGGTCTCCTTCCTGTTACCGTTGTGCTAATTGACAACGTCAGTTTGTGGCAGCAAAACATTTCCTGAAACGTGTGGCTTTGTGCCCGCTGTAGGTACAAGGCAGAATAAATGTAGATGGGAACGGCATAGTGCATTGCAGCCTGTTGTCCGGGCTCAGGTATGACAATGTGGGATCTGCAGTCATCCAGTCCCCGCTGTGCCTTTGCTGTGTACCAGGCAGAGTGCTTTAAGTGCCTTAAGAAACCTCCCAACGTTATTAAACATCAGTTTTTGGCTGAGACAGCCTGAGGTTTCAGATACTGAAAGAACACCTAATGTCTTCTCTGGCTTCGCCCACCTGTCCGCAGGCAAAGCCTCCTGAATAGCACAGCAGTTTCCAGCTGCAGCATGGCAGAACAGTGACATGTCTGTGTTGTCCCTCAGGTGGATTCCCACTACTGCCCCAGCTGCCTGGAAAACATGCCATCAGCTGAGGCCAAGCTGAAAAAGAATCGGTAAGGTTCATTTGTCATCAAGGGCCACCATTCAGAGCAGCTTTGTCCTTATGTTGTGAGCACCCAACCACACATACCTGAAGCCCCCTTCAAAAGTTACTTCACTCGTTACCTTTTGGGTTGTCTTGGGGAAAAATTGTTTTCCCATGATGTTGATTTCATCTTAATTTGCCCATTGAGTGTGTGTTCCTGTGCCTGTGGACAGAGATAGGAGCGCTGTGATGGGCTGACGATTGGACTGGATGATCTTGGAGGGCTTTCTCAGCCTTAATGTTTCCATGATTCTAAGGCCTTTCTCTCTCCAGGTGTGCTAACTGTTTTGACTGCCCCTGCTGCATGCACACCCTTTCCACTCGGGCCACTAGCATTCCTGCTCCGCTCCCCGATGACCCAGCCAAAACTACCATGAAGAAAGCATATTATTTGGCCTGTGGGTTTTGCCGCTGGACTTCCCGGGATGTGGGCATGGCAGACAAGTCTGTTGGTAAGTGATGTGCAAAAATACAAGGCAAATAGCAGTCCACCATGTCTAGTGAAGGTAGAATACAACCAGCCTAGTTGATGGCTGTGTGATAAGTATAAGGTTTGTCTAGATTTTGAGTTGCAGTTGGGAAATTAACAAGAAAATGCTTTTTTGGTGAAATCTCATCTGAAGAGCTGAGTTAGTGTAACATCTGACACACTTCCATGCTGGTGTTACCTGATCTGTCACAAAGCTGTCAGACATGGACCTTTGTCAGTAGGTGTGCTCTCTCCCCCGGCTGAGAGCTTGCTTCAGTCTTTGAAGTTGCTCAGTCTGACAGCACAGAAATCTAGCTCATTTCCTGTCACTTCTGTTTGCTTAGGCTTATTTCAGAGGTATTAGTCAGTGTGTGCCCCTGTTTTTTCTCTTCATGACAGAAAAGGAACAAAGCTTTTGTCTATTTCTCAGTCCGTAAGACACGCAGAAAATATGTATCAGGCTCCAGGAACGAGGCTGAGTAGAGCAGGCAGGTTCTCTTTGACTTCTAGTGTTCGTGACTGAAGACCTAGAGGTGAAGGTGCAGAGACATGGGCAGCTGTTAATAAGAACATGTAGTTATAAACTGATGTGCATACTGCCATAGTCCTCCTGGGTGCTGTTCTGTATTCCTCAAGCAGAAGTTGTTTAAAAACGCAGTGTAAAAGCTGGACAAGTCACTTCAACCCAAACCTGCCCATGAAAAGCTCATAGAGGTATATATTTATGCAGATACAAACTTGAGGAACTGTGATGGTGAGAGTAGTAAATATAGGGAAGGCCATATTTCAAAGCTAGGACTGAGACAGGTGGGTGTAAGGTGTGATTTCTGTGTGGAGTCTGGAAATCTCCTCAGGACTTTGTTTTATTCTCTTGCAGCTAGTGGTGGCTGGCAGGAACCAGAGAATCCTCACACACAGAGGGTGAGTGAAGGGGAAGGCCACCCTTAGGCTGAGATGGCATCAGCCAAAAAGAGCTGTTAGAGGTGCCAGGCCATCTCAATCTTGTTTTTTGCACCTGTACAATTCTTCTGGTGCCATGTCCAGTTCATAATCTCTGCCTTGACTGAATTCAGTGGAAGGAAAGCCTCTTAGAGGCTTACCCATGGATGTCACAGTATGAAATTGCTTGTTTGGGAGGATTTCCACTGCAAACGTAGTAACAAGTGGCACTGTTAAAATTGCACTAATGGGCATGCTGTCTCTGTGTGTCTGAGGAAGGCTGCTATCTAATGAGAGGTGTTCTTAACCTTTGACAGAGCACATCAAATTTTGCCTTACTGGTCTACCTTTAAAACTCTTCATAAGTTTGAAAGCATGCTTTGGAAAAACTAAAGGATGAATCTAAACGGGGACAGTTACTAACTGGAAAATCAGAACAGGATGCTGTTTTCTGGCAGGCCTCATTCCCAGAGGAACATCGGTTTGTCACCCATGATGTGCATAAATGAATGTTAAGGCACAGCAGCGTCCTTGATGTATATCCTGTGATATACTGGAACTAGGAACGGAATGAAACAATTAGCAGGAACCCCAGCTTGTTGACACTGAAATATTGCAGCTGGTGTGATGTTTGTTCTTCTTTCACTGGTATCTGTTCCTCTTCTTAACTCCAGATTAACAAGCTGGTTGAGTACTACCAGCAGTTGGCTCAGAAAGAGAAGATCGAGCGGGACCGGAAGAAGTTGGTGCGGCGCCGAAACTACATGCCTCTGGCCTTCTCGGTGAGCTGGGAGCCCTGTGCTCTCAGAGCAGGCAGAGTGAGGCACAGCAGCCTCAGCTTGGAAAATGGTTGGGTAGAAGGATAGCATGATAGGGCTACTTTCTCTTTCTGCTTTCTCTTCTTTTTTTAATTGGGAATAACATGAGGAACATGCGCCAGGATTTCTTGAGGGATGAGTAGTTTTGCACCCTTTAATTTGTACTGTACTGCATTTTTCTGTAGTAATCCTCTCTGATAGTGTCAGAAGGGTTTGTACTTGCCAGGCAAAGGAGTACGTATCCAGCAGTGAAGTCCACTGCAGCTGTGGTTACGATGTGCAGCCTTCTAAGGAAAGTTGCATACTGCTGCTCAGTACCAAATCAGGATTGTCCTGCACTTCGCTGCATGAAGTCTCAACTGAAATTAATTAAGTTAAGACTTGATTGTGGCCTGAATTACTTGTTCATTGTAACTGTCAGGTAAACGCTTACTTCGTTCAGCTGGGTGACTGCATATGCTTGCTACTTCTCAATTAACTGTGCCTGCTCTGTGCCCTTGCTTGTGTCTTATGGCTGCATTTTTTGTCTCCGTTGCTACCTGCTGCTATTTTGGGGGCTCTCCACAGCAACACACTATACATGTAGTGGTAAGTCTTTTCACCATTTCTGCTGGTGTTAAAGCTCTCACGGTACCAACTGAAGAGCAGTAACATATTCTGCTCTTCACCTTTCCTCAGGGCCTCTGACTTGAATGTGTATAGAGCAAAAGCACCCAAAGGCTAATTAGTTAGAGGGTAACATGTTTAAAAAAACATGGGTTTTGTTAGTTTGGAAACAGGGCTTTGTCTTTGGGTAAGTAATTTGCACTTGAAAGGCAGTTCTTCACAGTTCTCAGCCAAGAGGTGTCCATCTGCATACCTGAGGGAAATGGTACTAATCTCAGTCTTCTGATTCTTGAGGAGCCACCAGGATAAGGCTGATGCTCAGATTTCTCATTTGGTAAGAAATAAATTTTCAGTTGAGCCCAGAAGGAAGATCTGTGCTTCCAAACATCATGTGTGCAGTTCAGCTGCAGAAAGAGAGGAGTAGCTCAGCTGTTCCTGCTGAGAGGTTGTGCCTGGTGAGAGAGACAGACCATTAGGTAACAGAGCTCATAGGAAATGGAACCTTCCAGCATCTGTAGGGAGCATTTCACATGGACACAGAGCCACGTCTGCCTAGTTCTTGTGCAGTTGAGCTCTCATTCTGCACGACTGACAAGCAGTTAAGGGAGAACACGTTAGTACTGTAGGCTGATGGTTTAAAAACAGCAACAAGTGTCATAAGCAGTACCCACAAACATTTCTCTTCCCATTGTTTTCTCCTCACTCACAGTTTGAGCAGGGAAAAAAAATACCTTGAGAGGCCTCGAATACCTTTCCCTTTTTGCTTTAATTTGCTTGTTTCCCTATGCTTATCATGCAGCTCAAATATGAGTTTGCAGTAGGTCTTGTTGCCCTGGGAGGAAGCAGACCTCAGGCTGACGATGCCTTTTTGTTCCTGTAGGACAAATACGGCCTTGGAACCAGACTTCAGCGCCAGAGGCCCGGTGCTCCCATCAGTGCTCTTGCTGGACTCTCGTGAGTGTCACCTAATAGAAACAAGTGCATTTCCATCTCCATGTGCACTGTTGTCTTGCACTCCTAGCACCTCTGCCTTCTGTGGCATAACGCAGTGCTATCCTTGCTGTCTGTCAGAGCATTTGTGCTGTGTTTTATGACTAAGTTTCCTGGCGTTTTGCTTCAGTCTGAAGGAAGGAGAGGATCAAAAGGAGATCAAGATTGAGCCAGCTGATGCAGTGGAAGAAGTAGAACCCCTTCCCGAGGATTATTACACGAGACCAATCAATCTGACTGAAGGTAATACCTTAATATTGTTTCCCTTTTGCCATTCATTTCATAACATGGACAGTGTTTGGAAATGTGTCAATGGGTTCCTAGTGGTTTAAGGTTTTAGCATGCTGGGGTTGAAATGGTGTGAAATTTGTGATTTTTCTAATGGTGCTTTTGATTGCAGCTCAGCAAAAATAAATGCATAATCAAAATAAGGAAAGCTTGGCCCCAAAACCAACAGGCTTCTTTGCTACTGTTTCATTTTTTTCACTGATTGTAACTTTTCTGCATGTGACATTGGGGTGAAGGAAAGACCTGACATCCTTTTTCAAATGATAGCAGATAATAAGGAAGTAGTTGTGCTGCTGGGGAGTTGGCACCTTATCTGGCCTGTTAAGTAACAGTTGTGCATTATTTTGACATCAGGTTGGAACAGCTTACGTATGCTTGTGAGATAGCTGACTCCTGATTCAATCAGCACATATTGTAGATTGGGCCAAGAAATGTAGGAGTGGATAGGATAAAACAGCAGGAACAGGAAGCATTCTGAACTTTCTGCTGAGGTGGTTCTAAGGAGAACAGATGTCCTCAGTTCTGCAGGCCCACAAAGTTCACACACATTAAATAACTCATAAAAGATTTTTGGGAAGGCATGGATGGTCTCCTTTCCTCATGAGACTCTGTCAGTGTTGAGAAAATAGGATGCTGGTGAAGAAGACAACTTCTGCATTGAGGGAAAGGCTGCCAGGTGGCTGGCTGCCTGTTAGACAGTGGTGAGGAGCCTTTTTTATGGAAGAACACCGTGGGGAGTTTGGCTGCTGAAGTTCCTAACTGCAGTCACTAATTCTTTGTGTGAGTCTGAATTACGCAAACTCCTTGCTGCAGACTTTGTCTCCTACTCAAGCAGCACCCAGCTGTGGCAGTAACAAAGCTATGAAAGCTGACTTGCCCTTTGCACACATGCTGTTAGGCCAGTGCGTATGTGCAGTCTGGCTTGAGTTTCAGTGCGTGGATAAGTTGTAAATTTGGTCTTCTTTGTGTCACCCAGTGACAACACTGCATCAGCGCTTGCTGCAGCCTGACTTCCAGCCAATCTGTGCTTCCCAGCTCTACCCACGTCACAAGCACCTCCTGATCAAACGTTCACTGCGCTGTCGGGTGAGTAATGACTGCAGAACAGCACTTCTAGGCTCACAGGACTTGGGCTATGGGAAATGAGCTCTGCATTTCTTTTTTAAGAGAAACTGCTCAAATGCTTCTGGTGGTTGAATACTGGAAGCAGCAATGAGGAGATTAGGGAGGCTGTTGCATCTCTGGTGTGATGACAGCACAGCTGCCCCTTCACGTTATTGAAAGGCTTGTAGAGACACAAATATGGACTTGCGGAAGAGTTTGTGTGTCCTGCCACACAGAAAGAGAAGAAAAGCAGGGAGCTGGAAAGTGAAGACGGGCAAGAATTAAATCCAGTTTCAGAATGTTTTCTAGGAAATCATTTGTGTCAGGCAGTGCCTGTATTTAAAGAGTAGCCCACGAGGAGGTCAGCCTTGGATTCCAGTTATTTGTGCCTTCTTTCTGCTGCAGTCAATGTCTGAGTATTTTTAAGCTTGGTTCCAAGTTGTATTTCTGAAATTGCACCTATAGAACTGATAAGATACTGATACAAAGTATCAGTAACTTGCCACCATTGTGGCTACATGCACCCCAAGATAGCTTTATGTGTACTGTGCTACAGGTTGGTAATGCTGTGGTTAGTGGCCCTGTGCCTGCAGCTCTGGCTCATCTGTTTGTGAGCACACGCTATCTGTTGGTACTAACAAAAATATCTTTGTGTCTAGAAATGTGAACATAACCTCAGCAAACCAGAATTCAACCCAACATCCATCAAATTCAAGATCCAGATGGTTGCTGTGTAAGTAAGATGTGGAGGGTGGGGCCAGCAACTGCCTACCAGTACTTAGAGCTTTATATTTTAATTTCTTTTGAGCTTTGATCTTGTGTGTAATTGTGTAATCTGTTAAAATGACATAGTCAGTTAATTTATGTATTTGAGTAATTTGTAGTAAGTTTGCTCCCTCATGTATTGGAAGCTTGCTGAGGACCTCAGCAGTCTGAAAAAGGCAGTGCATGCTGTTCAGCCCCATGTAGTAGCAGGAGTTGTAGGTTTAGCCTTAGATAGCAAAAAGGCTCTTCATTTATTTGCTTGATGTAAGCTAAGCTCTAGTATCATTGAACATGCCAGCCAGATGCCTGTGAATACTTACTTCAGCAGGTTACAGGCAGCAATGCAGTTTATCCCATTCATTTGCTCTGTTGTTCTTTTAGTAACTACATCCCTGAAGTGAGAATCATGTCTATTCCCAACCTGCGCTACATGAAGGTCAGTGCTTTCTTGCAGAAACACTTTAGGGTAAGATATAACTGAGAGGTGTGGATGTGGGATGGTTTCCTGAGGGCTCTGCTAGCTTTGTTTAGAGAGAGTGCAGGGCTTAAGGGAGCGGTCAGAATAAGAGTGCCTGCACTTGTCACACCGTGTGAGTAGATTACAGTGCAGTCTGATGTCTGGCATAACAAGTACATGCAGGTGTCTGAAGAATAAATGGTGTGGAGAGCTGCATGATGTTGCCAGCATTCTGAAGGAATGGGGCTGTTTGCTGTCCGTCCTTTGAGTAAGCAGTGTGATTTTTGAAGGTGTCGATCAGTCACACAGTGGGGGTACTGACAGTAATGATGACTTTTAGCATGATGACTTCTTGACTTGCAATTCTTGAATCTTTCCAGGAAAGCCAAGTTCTTCTGACTCTGACCAATCCAGTGGAAAATATCACACACGTCACACTGCTGGAGTGTGAAGAAGGAGACCCTGACAATGTTAACAGCAGTGCCAAGGTATTGTACCTGCTGTGCAAGCCAGGCCTCTTCCAAGGCTTTCTGCTCTCATTTATCTTTCCTCATGTGGACCTTTAGGCCATACTGTGTTTCCTTTTCTTCCTGGGAGGTTTAAATTACCACCATCAATGTAAACATCAGCTCTTAATGTATTTTAAAATTCTGTCTGATCATTGAGATCCAGAGCCCAAGGGAGAAGTATGTGACTTCACAGATAAGAGTTGTAAATAAAGACTTCCAGAGGAGGGAGAAGCCAAGGGTAAATCATTCTATTAAGCTGTAGGAGAGCTTAATTCCCTCAAAGAGAATTACTTTGTCCTGTTTGTGGTGTAGATGGTGGTCAGTACTGAAAGGTTTCTGTTGGTGTTTTGTTTCAGGTGGTAGTTCCTCCCAAGGAGCTTATTCTGGCTGGCAAAGATGCTGCAGCAGAATATGATGAGCTGGCAGAGCCTCAGGACTTCCAGGATGACCCTGAGTGAGTGCTGTCTGTCCTGTAGGGACCCTGTCCCTGAAATGCTTGGCACTTTAACCAAGTAGTTTGCTATGTACTCTCTCTCTTCAGGGTGTTTTTTTTCTTTCTTTGTTTTTAATTGTTAATTTGTTTAGCTTTGTGATCGGAGAGAAGCAGTGCAAATCTTTCTCTTCTGTTTGTGGTTTGGACTGTTCAGAAGACATTTCATCCCTTCAAAACAATTATGGTGTTAGAGCAGTTGAGTTATAGGTGTTGGTACTGATTCTCCCTTCAATACTCTTGTAATCCTTTTCTTTGCAAGCAGAGGGTTCAAAGAAGTGATGGGAACCACACAGTAGTGTGTACAACAGAGGTGCCTCCAGCTTTAGCATTGAAATACACCCTACAGCCTCTTACTGAGCAGCTTGAACCATATATTACGGCCTTTCTCTGTTGCATAACTAACTAGGTTCATAACTTTCATGGCCAAAGCAGGCATGTTCTGTTCTGCCAGCAGCTGCCAGCTTAGAGGAGGGTAGTGCGTTCTGATCTTGAGGCAGGAGGGGCTGTGAGTCCGCTGGGAAAAGAGCAGCAGCCGCCAACTAGAGCAATTGTTCTAGTGAGGCATGTTCAGGCCGTGGGCTGTAAACTGAGCATCCCTCTTACTTTGTGTCAGAATAAATCTCTCAGAACAATAGATGGAGAACTCAGCTGACCCAGTTCTTTTGTTTTCTGTTTTGCAGCGTTATTGCCTTCAGAAAAGCCAACAAGGTAGGAGTTTTCATCAAGGTTACCCCGCAGAAAGAGGAGGGCGACGTGACCGTGAGCTTTAAGATGAAGCACGAGTTTAAAAACCTTGCTGCTCCAATCCGGCCCAGTGAGGAATGCGACCAGGTCTCAGAGGTCATCTGGCTTACCCACCACGTTGAGCTCAGCCTCGGTCCAGTGCTCCCCTAAAAGCTCCCAGCACTCGTGTCCCCGTGGCTGGCTGCAGGATGGACTGTCAGTGAAAGAATTGCACCCTGGTGAAACCTTCTGTGAAAGCTCCTGTGTGATGTGTGGGTGTGTGCCACGGGCTGCAGCCAGGCCGTCAGGAGGAGGCTGCATGGGTGAGGGTGCTGTGGTTTGGGATGATTTGTTCTCTCTTCTTATCGTAGTGCCCACTAACTAAAGCTCTGCTTCCCCACACTTCCACAGGCTAGTTTAACTCGCAGCACGTGTTTCAGCACGCAGATAGAGCTAGCTTTCTCCAGATTTGTGTTACTGGCTGAATTTGGCTTTATCGACAAAAAAGAAACCCTGTTGTTTTTCTTCTTCTTTCAAGTCAGCCCACGAACCTAATGTTACATACACAGAAGTGAACTTTTTCCCCACATGGAGCTATGCCCTCTTCAAACAAACATTTTAGGAGGTGGCAGTGTCTGCTGCATTACTGACAAGTCTGTTGCTGCAGCATGATGCTTTCTTTCCTTTGTTTTTTGCTTCCTGTTAGGATACCTCAAATAACTGTGGGGCACTCGGATGTACAACCCTTTCTGTTCTTGTGAAAAAACACTCTGGCACATGCAGTTTCCTTAGCCAAAGTGGTAAATCTTTTCACAAAGGAAACGGTCACTTTGTCTTCAGTCCCAGAACATGAAATACTGCAGTGCTCATGGATCTGACTGGCCACCAACCACACTGTAGGCTCGTCGTTTTGCAAGGTGGATGTGGTAGTGTGAGTTGTTAGAAACTGGGAAGTCTCATTGTGCTACATTTCTTTACTAAGGTGAGAGTGGTCCTGAGAGGCTGCCTGTCAATCTTCATATTAATAAATGTGTGTTAATAGGGATAGCAGTCAGTACTAAACTTGGAGAATTGAGATTAGCTCTAGCATACAAAAAACTACTGAGGCTGTCCAAGTTCATACTGTCTTTTTCCAGCTGTGGGAGTGGGGGTATAAAGGAGGAAAGGCTGTTACACTGTAACTAGCATACACTGTACCACTGTTCTTAAAAAAAAAAAAAAAAAAGAAAAACATTATCTGGGGTGTAATGTGGCCATAGCCCAAACTAAAACTTTAATTAAGAAGAGTGTATGCAGGATACCGAATGCCAGTTCACTGCAGTAGTACAGTGCGAGTGGGTGAGATTGTTTGTCCTTGGGAGACTTCAATTTCATTCCCAGTTCAATGTTTACTTTCATTACCTGTTTCTGATGGAGCTTTGATGTGCTGGCTTTGGGAGGCGTTTGTGTATCAGCCAAGGACAGCTTTGTTGCTCACGATGTTTGTGCTGTGGTTCTGCCACCCCAGAGCTGCAAACTGCTGTGTGGGAGAGAGGGATAAGGCCATATCTCCTGCAAACCAAGCAGCCTGCCTTAGGGAAACCAGCCCTCTGGGCACACTGTGCCTGGAAGGGAAACACGCGCCTTACAGCCCTGCTCCTGCAGCACCTCCCAGAGCAGCAAGTCAGCACGTTTACAATGCCTAGGTTACACACAGGTGTACAGCATGAGTTTAAGAAGTGTAGTTTGTATTTATTAATGTATAGCGCTAGCGTCTGCTGCTGTTTTACCTTCCAGATAACAAAACACTTAAACCATGGCCATCAGTTCTCTCCTTAGCCGCAACACTACTACCTATGGAAGCAGCTTTTGGGATGCTGCTGGCTGATGGAGCTCTCTGGCTGCAGCTCCCGGTCCCAGTGCCACCGCAGGCATTGGGATGGGCTTGGGCTGTGCTCTGTGCTCCTGGACAGTGAGGAGCTGCTGGGCTCTGTGCCTGCCGACAGCTGCTGGGGGCGCAGATCGGTGGCTGTCTGAGCAGTCCGGTGTGCTCGGTGAGATGTTCCTCTCCTTTAGGTGCTTGTAGGTGATAGCAATGCCGTGAGCTGTGTCTGTCCGTCTGTCTGTCCTTGCTCCCGGGTCGCAGGAGTTCTTGCCCATCGGTGTAACCCGTAATGACAGGCGACTGTTGCCTTACTGCTTAACTTCACGTAGTAATCTTCAATAAAGCGACCTTGGCTCTCAGGCTCTGCACTGTTATTTACACCGCCGTTAATGGGGAAGTAGTAACAATTAAAATATGAAAAGCTGAGCACCCCTGCGCTCCCACCGCCTTCACTCCCGCTCGCTCCTGCTGATTCGGCCGCGTTGGCTCATCTCTATGGTTGTCTAGGACAGTGCCTAGAGCGCCCCCACTGCTCCTCCCGCGTCCGCACGGCGCTAGCGGAAGTGACGTCACTTCCGGGTCCCACCGCCTGCCGGGATCGAGGCGGAGCGGAGCGGCGCGGGGCCGCCATGTCGACGTCGCTGGGCTCCAACACTTACAACCGGCAGAACTGGGAGGATGCGGTGAGCCCGGGGGGAGCCGGCCGGCGGCGGGGGGCCGTGCTGTGGGACTGGGGACTGCGGGCTGGGCCGAGGCCACGCGGTGGGGCCCCTAGGGCCGAGGGTGGCTTCTGCTACAGAGCTGAGGAGCGCGGGCCTCGGGAACGTCCTTTGGGTTGGGTGCGTGTGAGGTGGGCGGTGAGAACAGGAGCGGCTGGCCTGCTGCGGTCATTTAGCCATCAGGGCGTGGGTTGCGGCTTCTCGCATGGCTCCTGTGAGCCGGTTCTATGAGCACCTTGCTAAGGCAGGCCGAGTTCGCTCGGCAGGGTGAGCGCAGAGGGTGGTTCCAGTGCTCTTGTGATGATTTGATTGCTCGGTGCACGTTTTCTTTCTTTTTCCTCCGCTTAGGACTTCCCTATTCTGTGCCAGACGTGTCTTGGAGAAAACCCATACATTCGCATGGTATGTGCTGGTGGCCCTGTGCCCTTCGTTGGGTGCTGATGGCCATAGAACTGTTCGGTTTTGAGGGCTCAAGCAAGCTTGGATGCAGGAGGGGATGCTGAGGGCATGCACTGGCTCCTTGGCTGTGCACTGCAGGCTTTACTTCATGCCTTTGTTAGTGCATCACATTGTGGTGGTCGGTGCAGGGTTTAACAATAACTCGGTCCAAAAGCTGAGCAGGATGTCACAGTCTGATGTCTGGAGTGCAGGAAATACCAATAAAGCTTTGGTGCCAGTAAATCATGTGACATGGGAAGCAACGAGCTGCTGAAATATTAAATAGATGAGCACAATCTCTAAAACCTGCATAACATGAAAATGAGCTGGAGCTGTCTTAGAAAGGCTGCTGACAGTAATTTAAATCCTGCTTTGTTGACCTTGGTTTAATATGTCCAAGATGAGTCAGGCCGTTCCACGCTGCTTTTCTCAGTGCTCAGTCCAGTTACACGGGGCATACCTTTAGATTATCTTTGCCTTGCGTTTCCTTTCCCCAAGTTTGCTGAGTGCTGTTACATTTTTATGGCATGTGACTTTATAGTCCGTATAGATATTTTAAAAATGTTTTGTTTTGGTGTGTTTGCTTTATGCACTTACATCATTTTGATTAAAAATAGTATCAATAATCTGTTTCATGATTGTTTTTCTTTGGTATGTGAGGTGGAGCTCGTAATACTTTGTTTTAATGAGTGCTTCTAAAATGAAAATAGGTTGAGAATTTCTTAGATTATCTTTTTTTGGTCCTGTTTGCCAGGCAAGAGAGATTCTGTTTAAGCACCAAAAGTAGAGGTGAGCGAGTCTAAATGCAGAATAAGAGCAGGAACACTGTGCTCTAAGTTCAGTGATGACGTTTCATCATTCACTGTATTTTGATATTTCATATTTTCTTTTCTATTTATTTATTATATTTCAGACCAAAGAGAAATATGGAAAAGAATGCAAGGTATGTTTATTGTCTTTTTGAAGAATGAGCTTCTAAATTGGTGCACATCTGGGAGTAATGTGTGTTCAATGTTTTTTAAAACATTTGCTGGCTTCAGAAAGTGTTTATCTTGGCTAAGAGCTTAACATGTACAAAACTACATGAAGTTTCAGGTGCATCATCTTCACTGTGTTAGTTATTCTTGAATCATAAAATTACTGCTAACAGAGTTAAGATTTGCTCCCAGTTATTACAATTATTAGATTGTGCTAAAGTATTTCATATTTTCTGTTGCAAGTTTGTTTTTACTGCTATGTGATGCAGAAGTCACTGGAGTTTAGGTTTTGCTGTCAATCTGTTATTCTTTGCCAGCTAATAATTTGTGTTGGCCATTGTACGAAATAAGGCAGGTTTGTATCTGAGAGAGCAAGAATCATTTGGCGTTTCTTGACTTGAGTTGTCCATCTGCCCCATTCTCACCCAAGGCAGGGACAAGGCACGTGTTGAGATCTTGCTTCTGTTCCTCAGATACCCGTGCAGCAGAAGCAGATGCGTTTTTCCAACACATAACACAGAGGGCAGTACTTCCTGCCCTCGCTGCTTTGCTGCAATTCAAGCTCTCGCTGGCTTGCTGCAATTTCAGTGACCTCTTAGTTTGCTCATAATTGGTAATTTGTCTCTAGCAGCTCCATGCTGACATCATCTGGAATAAAAAATGAATTCTTTCCGTTGAGTAGATCTGCTTTCAGCATTCAGGTTACTTTAATAACTCCAAACCTTCCCAGACCTTCCAAAAGCTTCCTCCTCTCGCAGTAAGGCAGCAAATAGCAATCAGCATTATCCTGAGCTCTTCAACTTTTTTTGCCTAGAACTTTGCTGAAGATTTCAGTGAGGCGAGGCGTGTTTGAGTTCTACATTTCCATGCAGGAACTGCTCTGGTTCTTGGTATGTGGTGCGACAGCAGCTCGCTTGTCTGTCTTTCAGATTTGTGCCAGGCCTTTCACAGTGTTCCGCTGGTGTCCTGGTGTTCGGATGCGTTTCAAGAAAACAGAAGTGTGCCAGACCTGCAGCAAGTTGAAGAATGTCTGTCAAACCTGTCTGCTTGACCTGGAATATGGTGTGTACCACAAAGGGCCGGCTGAGAAAAGCAGCAGCTCTGCTTGCTTCTGAAGTGAAAGCTTCTTAAAATGCGTGCATGACATTGGAGTAGTTGTTTCCAGACTTTGAGAAGATCAAGTCTCTTGTGAGATTCAGGGGCAGCTTCGTGTGCTTGAGCAGGAGACAAGTTATGTCTGCTTACCCTGAGTTGCAGTAACTATTTTTTTGCTCTTTCAGCTTGTGCTTCATAGGGGTTTTTTGTTTGTTTAATTCTAGGTTTGCCTATTCAAGTCCGGGATGCAGGACTGTCCCTTAAGGATGAAATGCCTAAATCTGATGTCAATAAAGAGTACTACACCCAGAACATGGAGCGAGAGGTGAGAAAGCATCATTGTGAGCATGGTCTTTGTGTTTGGATGCGTACAGGGAGGGAGGGGATCAAACACACTTTCTCCAAAAAAGAATGACCTACGTCATCTTCAAATCATGTGTTTGTTTTCATTCTGCATTACGTGTCAGCACTGTGTGTGTGTATATCTGTAATAATTTGTCTGCCTCTTAACTGCTGTGTAGATAGCCAACTCTGATGGCACTAGACCAGTGGGTGCACTAGGAAAAGCTACTTCTACCAGTGACATGCTGTTGAAGCTGGCTCGGACCACTCCTTACTACAAACGTAATCGTCCTCACATCTGTTCCTTCTGGGTAAAAGGGGAATGCAAGAGAGGAGAAGAATGTCCTTACAGGTACACCAACATCTTAATAGTTTCTGTTCACCGTGGTCAGATACGCCTCCCCTTAGGGACTGAAGAACAGGAAGTGCTGCAGTGGGCAGGAGGTGCAGCACTGTGATTGGAGTTGGTGTGAAATTAGCAGTAAGGTGGCGTGCAGCATCCGTGGAGAAATCCTTGTTGTGACAGGCTCATCTGTGAGGAATTTGCTGCGTAGGTTTGTGGTGTTTTGCCAAAGCAGTGACTGCAGCCCTTCTCTTGCACAGTTCATTTCTTCCCGTCGTGGCGTCAGTCCCCACAATCACAGGTCTTTGTATTTGAACAAGAGGCCATTTGAAATCCAGCTCTTACGTTTTGTAGTACTGAATGCTTGGCTGTCAGAAGTGCCATTCATTCTGAGCTCCAGGCAGCTGTGCCAGCAGCGTGTTGGTAGCCCCAGTCTGACTTCTTCAGGCTTTTTGTTCCAATGTGACATCTTTCTGTGAGCAGGGCTAAGCGTGCAAGCAAGCAGATGGTGTTTAGAGGGGAAAGGAGTGGATGAAGTCATGTCAGCTGCAGCTGTTGCTGGCGTTAAGAAACGCTTTGTTTGCTGAACCCCAGGCATGAGAAGCCTACAGATCCAGACGATCCTCTGGCTGATCAGAATATCAAAGATCGTTACTATGGAATCAATGATCCTGTAGCTGATAAGCTGCTGAAACGAGCGTCGACCATGCCTCGACTGGACCCTCCTGATGATAAGACCATCACTACGCTGTACGTTGGAGGGCTTGGAGATACTATCACTGAATCAGATCTCAGGTGTGTTGGTGTGTCTGCTTGTATGTTTTATGCTTTGGGTACTTATCACCTTCAAGGGAGGAAATCTGTCCTTCAAAGTGGGGCAAAAAAACTGGCTTTCAGTTTTCTTTAATGGGGAACTCGTGGGCAAGTGCAGAGGAGTGCCAGCTTGTTGGAGAACAAATAAACAAGCACATTTCAAGAGCTTTGATTAAGAGAGAAGTCTTAAAGATGAGTCATCTTTCTGAGTTCTTGGGGATAATGTGTTTTACTTTTTACAACAAATTCCATATCTTCTCTCTAGTTAGCTGCTGAGAAAAGCCCTAACCCTTATCCTACACTAAAGCATTTCTTTTATTGTTCCACAATTACATGCAAGAGCAAGTGGCTTGATTTGTACTCACTGCTCTGAACTGGTGATGGAGAAAGGAAAGGATCCGAACATACCTGTTTGGTCACATTTAACTGCTGTTATTCTGTGGCTAAGAGGAACAGGCTTTCATCCTCTCTCATCCTCCCTCCACGCAGAAATCACTTCTACCAGTTTGGGGAGATCCGGACGATAACAGTCGTGCAGAGGCAGCAGTGTGCTTTCATCCAGTTTGCCACCCGACAAGCTGCAGAAGTGGCTGCTGAGAAATCCTTCAACAAGCTCATTGTCAACGGCCGCA